GGGCCACAGCCATTTGAGGGGAAAACATAGAGAAAGCATAGAGTTTTCCCCTCAAATGGCAGTCATTTGAGGGGACCTTTTACAGTTCCGCAGGGCCTGCAAGACGGAGCTCTTCCGCCAGGCTTTTAACTAGAGTGACAGACGTCCCTCCTTATTTTTTGGGTCTCCCCTCAGTGGGTCAGAACGGCTTACCTGAGATGGCATCTATGAGACTTAATTCTAAGGACGACTGCACCGGCTGGAGGATAGAGTTGTAATTTATTCGTGTTTTAATTCTGTTTTTACCAATTCCTTTGTATTTTAGTGTTTTTATTCTGTTTTTACCAATTCCTTTGTATTTATATATTGCATTTTTATTAAATCTGATGTAACCCACCCTGAGCCTGCCCTGCGAAGAGGGCAGGATATAAACTGGATAAATGGAAAACAAACAAACAAACAAAAAATAAATAAATAAATAAAGATCAAATGGAAGAGTAGAATGATGTAAGCCGTTCTGGGTCCCCACTGGGGCGAAAGTTATATAAAAAAGCAAATGAAAATAGAGTCAAGAAACAAAATAAACCAATACGTCCAATTAATTTTGAGTGCAGGCTGTAAGTCTTGTTCAGAAAATTGTCCTTTTTGAAAGAAAGAAAGAAAGCAGGAAAGGAAAGGAAAGGAAAGGAAAGGAAAGGAAAGGAAAGGAAAGGAAAGGAAAGGAAAGGAAAGGAAGGAAGGAAGGAAGGAAGGAAGGAAGGAAGGAAGAAAGGAAGGAAGAAAGGAAGGAAAGAAAGAAGGAAAGAAAGAAAGAAGGAAGAAAAGGAAAGGAAAGGAAGGAGAGAAGGAGGAAAGAAAGAAGGAGGGAGGGAGGGATTCCAAACATGCCATGCCCTATGTAGAAACAAGAAAAAAAATGCATGTGCCCAAATTTTAACACCAATAATCAACGAATTTAATAATAGTAAGACACATAAAGTCCTCAGAACAAATTTTCCATGAATAACAGGTGGAAGTTCACTGGTGACGTTGAATACAGGTAGAAATTCACAGGTGGAGTTTTTCCGCAAACAATTTTTAATACATTCAAAAAAGGTCCTTGATCTGTAAGGATGTACTGGTGCTTCTGCCAGCTGACTTGACGGACCCCCAGTTCTAAACCCGTTTCAATAATTTTTCCCCAAGATCCATGCTGGATTCAACATTTCAAACGTACATGCAGACATCCAGAAAGCATATTCAAATACAGCAATCCTCAGCGATTCCCAATTCAGAATCTATCATTTCTTGGAACCTCCCTTCAAAATTCTGATGCATTTTACCATTTTCATTAGAGGAAAAGCTTCACCAGTGAATTTCCACCTGTCGTCTGTGGAAAATTTGTTCTAAGTACTTTATATGTCTTAGGTAAAGGTTTCCCTTGCTCGAAAGCCAGCTGAATCCGACTCTAGGGATGCAGTGCTCATCTCCATTTCCAAGCCAAAGAGCCAGCGCTGCCCAAAGATGTTTCCGTGGTCATGTGGCCAGCATGACTAGACGCCGAGGTGCACGGAACACTGTTAAATTAATTGATTATTGTCAGGGGTCATTTCCTGCAGGAGCGCACAGGAGAGGAGCTCCGGCAGTAAAGAGCCCAGGGGGTGGGCACATGCAACAAGCCCCACCCCCTGCTCCCAGCAGCCCTCAGTCAGAGCAAGAAGCAGCCAGGTAAGTTGCAGAGCTCCCCCGGGTCCAAAACAGTCCAGTGGCACCTTTAAGACCAAGTTTTATTCCGGTACAAGCTCTCCCTCCTCTGCGAGGACAGATCTGCACGTTCTCTCCCCTCCCCCCAATAGCTAAAAACCCAAAACAGTCCAGTGGAGCCTGAGTGGTGGGTGTTGCCTTCTGGCACACTTCCGGTGATGTCAGGGGGTGTGGCCTATGCAAATAAGTTATGCTAATGAGCACCTGCACCTCTTTTTCTACGAAATGACCCCTGATTATTGGTGTTTAAATTTGGGCACAGGCATCCCCCCCCCCCGTTTTCATATCTTTCTGTGCCTTTCATCTTGCATCTCATGCCCTATGTGGAGGCTGCCCTGGGGGCCCAGCAGATCACGGGTTAAACCCATTCAGTTCTTGTTATGGGGGGAGTCGGGGCCAGAGGGCCATGCTATGCAGACGAGAAGGCTCTTTTTAATGTTCTCACTTTCTTCATCAGGGCATAATTATAGTGTCATAACACAGCAAATTACAACTTTGCCTTTCCCGTTAGAGAGAGGAGTTCACGGAGGTGCTCCCCCCCCTTTTATTGGCCATTACTCATCCGCCTGGCTGGCAGGGGTAGTTCCGCCGAGTCAGGATTCTGACAGATGCCCATTTAAAGCTCATTAAAATTCCTGGGCCTCGTAGTGATTGAAGGCCCTTGCTCTCTCCACATTTTCTTTTTGGATTAATGGGAAACGAAGGCTCTGATGAAGACCTGCTATGCATAATTTTCCCCACGACGTTGGCTCAAAGGGATGGCCAATCCACGACGACGCCCGGATCTCCTAAGGGCCAGGAGGCTGTGGCAGAGTTGAGCCCCCAAAGGGATCAAAGGACTATGTAGTCCTAACCCTTTCCAGGGCATCTACTGTTGAGTCTCCACTCGCCAAGGTGGGTTCCCAAGGAAAGAGCAGGTCAGATCTTCCGTGGTACTTGACGGAGCAAAAGAAGTTCCATGTGATTCATGCTAGTGAGTCGGGAAGATGTATGCAACAGTGGAGAATGTCCCCCCCTGAAGGAGTCTGTGACTGCTAAAACTTGTTTAAGACTTAAAACCTGTTCGATCTTTGAGGATAGCACATAGGAAAGGCTTTCAAATATGGATACGGGATTATGAAGAGCTTCCTTGGATACATACACCTGAAGCTGCCTTGGTCCATCGAGGTCACTACTGTCTACTCAGACTGGCAGTGGCTCTCCAGGGTCTCAGGCAGAGGTCTTTCACATTACCTACTGTCTAGTCCTTTCAACTAGTGGAGATAGTGGGGATTGAACCTGGGACCTTCTGCATGCCAAGCAGGTGCTCTACTAATAAGCCACTGAGGTCATTCACATCACCTACTGTCTAGTCCTTTCAACTGGTGGAGATAGTGGGGATTGAACCTGGGACCTTCTGCATGCCAAGCAGATGCTCTACTAGTAAGCCACTGAGGTCATTCACATCACCTACTGTCTAGTCCTTTCAACTGGTGGAGATAGTGGGGATTGAACCTGGGACCTTCTGCATGCCAAGCAGATGCTCTACTAGTAAGCCACTGAGGTCATTCACATCACCTACTGTCTAGTCCTTTCAACTGGTGGAGATAGTGGGGATTGAACCTGGGACCTTCTGCATGCCAAGCAGATGCTCTACTAGTAAGCCACTGAGGTCATTCACATCACCTACTGTCTAGTCCTTTCAACTGGTGGAGATAGTGGGGATTGAACCTGGGACCTTCTGCATGCCAAGCAGATGCTCTACTAGTAAGCCACTGAGGTCATTCACATCACCTACTGTCTAGTCCTTTCAACTGGTGGAGATAGTGGGGATTGAACCTGGGACCTTCTGCATGCCAAGCAGATGCTCTACTAGTAAGCCACTGAGGTCATTCACATCACCTACTGTCTAGTCCTTTCAACTGGTGGAGATAGTGGGGATTGAACCTGGGACCTTCTGCATGCCAAGCAGATGCTCTACTAGTAAGCCACTGAGGTCATTCACATCACCTACTGTCTAGTCCTTTCAACTGGTGGAGATAGTGGGGATTGAACCTGGGACCTTCTGCATGCCAAGCAGATGCTCTACTAGTAAGCCACTGAGGTCATTCACATCACCTACTGTCTAGTCCTTTCAACTGGTGGAGATAGTGGGGATTGAACCTGGGACCTTCTGCATGCCAAGCAGATGCTCTACTAGTAAGCCACTGAGGTCATTCACATCACCTACTGTCTAGTCCTTTCAACTGGTGGAGATAGTGGGGATTGAACCTGGGACCTTCTGCATGCCAAGAAGATGCTCTCCCAACAAGCCTTGGCCCTTCCCCCCACAGCCCCTTGACGGGTGGGCCTAACAAGCCTCATGGATACCCTCTACCTTCTCACCCAACACCATTTTTTGTCCCACTGTTCCTCTCTTTCCAGTCTGTTCCCACTGGGGACTGGGCTGTCTTATGCAAGTGGATGTCCAGGATCATCCCTACCCATGTTTATTTTCTCAGGCATGGCCTCCAAAGGAAGTGTCTAGCCAGGACAAAAGCACTTCCAGGTTGCCAATTTCACTCTCCTGGGACTATGGGAAAAACTTAGCCTGTGGTCAAAGCAGCATCCCAAAGACTCAAAAGAACACCAGAAGAGTCCTGCTGGATCAGACCAGTGGTCCATCTAGTCCAGCATCCCGTCAGCCAGTTCCTCTGGAGGGCCAAGAACAGAGCAGAGAGGCCAAGGCGTTCCCCTGATGTTGGCTCCTGGCTCTGGGATTCAGTGGATTAGTGCCTCTGAATGTGGAGGTTCCCCTCAGCCACCTCCACGAATCTATCCAATGCCCCTTTAAAGCTGTTTATTCCTGTGGCCATCACTGCATGCTCTGGCAGCGAATTCCACATCTTAATCCCTCTCTGTGTAAAGTCGTATTGCCTTTTCTCCATCCTGAACCTACTGCCCTTTGGCATCATTGGATGCCCTCGAGTTCTAGTATTCTGAGAGAGGGAGAAGAAGATGACGACGAAGAGATTGGATTCATACCCCGCCCTTCACTACCCGAAGGTGTCTCAGAGCGGTTTACGAACTCCTTTCCCTTCCCCTCCCCACAACAGACACCCTCTGAGGTAGGCGGGGCTGAGAGAGCTCTGACAGAAACTGCTCTTGAAAGAAAAGCTCTGAGAGAACTTGTGACTGACCCAAGGTCACTCCAGCAGCTGCTTGTGGAGGAGTGGGGGAATCAAAGCCGGCTTTCCCAGATTAGAGTCCAGGCTCCTAACCACTACACCAAACTGGCCTAGAGGCTCAAAGGCATAGATGAAGAAGAAGAAGAAGAAGAAGAAGAAGAAGAAGAAGAAGAAGAAGAAGAAGAAGAAGAAGAGATTGGATTCATACCCCGCCCTTCACTACCCAAAGGAGTCTCAGAGCGGCTTGCAAACTCCTTTCCCTTCCCCTCCCCACAACAGACACCCCATGGGGTGGGTGGGGCTGAGACAGCTCTTGACAGAAACTGCTCTTTTTCAAGGACAGCTCTTGTCAGAACTGTGGCTTGCCTAGGGTCATCCAGCGGGTGCAAGTGGAGGAGTGGGGGAATCAAACCCGGTTCTCCCAGACTAGAGTTCGCACACTTAACCACGACGCCACTACACCCTTTGCCAACTCTCTCCACCCCGTGCACCCAGGCCCGTAGCCAGGACTTTTTTAATTCTGGGGGAGGGGGCTCTTCTCGGTGGCGGCTCCTACTTGGTGGAACAAGCTCCCAAAGGAGACCCGGGCCCTGCGGGACCTTGTACAATTCCGCAGGGCCTGTAAGACGGAGCTCTTCCGCCAGGCGTTTGAGTAGGAGCCGCCACGGCTGTACCATCTTCATCTGGCCCTGGGAGAAAGAATGACAGCGCCAGGCGGAACGGATGGCACTGAGTGGCTATAACAGCATTATTCGCCATCTTTATGGAAGATCAATTCTGAACATCCAGAGCACCTAATGATAATAATGTCGTAATATTGTAGAAATGGTCTTAAATGGTTTTAAAATGTGTTTTACGCGCTGGCTTATGCATGATTGTGAGCCGCCCTGAGCCCGCATTGCGGGGAGGGAGGGCTATAAATTGAACATATAAATAAATACATAAATATATAATAAATAAATAAATAAAGCCAGGGGCCACCCCTGCACACTACATCCAGCGGTGTCCTGTCCGGTGTCATGGGAACAGAGGGCGGGGCTGATGGTCAAGGTCACAGCTTGAGGGCAGGGGTGGGACTCCAGCAGGCAGGGTCGGTGAGGGTGATGGCGTGGTATGACACAAAAAAGATAAAATAAGGATTTCTCAAGGGGGCTGGGCTGGATGGGAAGTGGGGGGCCCTTGGTGGTAAGCCGGGGGGCCAGGCCCCGAGGTGCTCCACTGTCGCTATGGGCCTGCATGCGCCATTTTAGAAACCTCTCTCATGTCCAGTGTTCCCTCTAAGCTGAGTCAGTGTGAGCCAGCGCACAGATTTTTAGCCTCCGGCTCACACATTTTTGCCCTCGCTCGGGACGGGATGGCTCCAGAGCAAACTAATCTGTGCAGCAGCCAAATCGCTCGCTCACGACTTTCCTGCCAGTAGCTCACAGAGTAGAATTTTTGCTCACAGGACTCCACAGCTTAGAGGGAGCGTCGCTCATGTCCCCCCTTCGTTGTCTTGCTCCTGAACGGAAAAGCCCCCGACGCTTCAGCCTTTCCTAACAGGGAAGGGGCTCCAGCCCCCAAATCATCTTGGTCGCCCTCCTCTGCCCGTTCCCCAGCGGCGCAATGTCCTTTCGGAGAGACTCACCTTCTCTCTGTTGCTGTGGGATCATGGGAGGCGGCTGTGGAAAGGCTTGGCTGATCTGGCCATAGGCAGCAGGGTAAGCAGCTATTGGACAAAGAGGGAGAAACGAGAAAGAGGGAGACGTTTCAGGATCTTTGCACGACCAGGCTTTCTGCCCAAGCAAGAATAAAACATCTTTAGGTGAAAAAGCAGGCACTTCACAATGGGCCCAGAATAGGGATGGCGGCCTCCAGGTGGGACCTGGGGATCCCCCTGGAATTACAGCTAGACTACAGGGATCAGTGCCCCCAGGGGAGATGGATGCTTTGGACAGTAGACGCGATGGCATTTATACCCCGCTGAGGGCCCTCCCTGTCTTCTCCTGGCCCCATCCCCAAATCTCCAGGAGTTTCCCAGCGTGAAGCTGGGAACCCTACCGCTCCCCATCGCCTGCTGGTAACCAGGGGGGAGCTGGTGACCCCAGCACAGAAGGACTTTGCAAAAGTTGAGAAACTGGATAATTCCCCTCCCCATTTCAAGAGACATAACTTTGTATCACATAGCACAGTTAATTTCTTATTTATTTATTTATTTAGTAGAAGAAGTAGAAGAGATTGGATTTCTACCCCGCCCTTCACTCGGAGTCTCACAATGGCTTACAAACTCCTTTCCGTTCCCCTCCCCACAACAGACACCCTGTGAGGTAGGCGGGGATGAGAGAGCTCATTCGAGGACTGCTCTTGAGAGAAGAGCTCTGCCAGAGCTATGGCTTGCCCAAGGTCATCCAGCAGATGCAAGGGGAGGAGTGGGGAATCAAACCCGGTTCTCCCAGATTAGAGTCCGCACACTTAACCACTACACCAAACTGGCTGTCATAGACATAACTCTGTATTGGATGGCAGAGTTAATTTCTTGTTGATGAAGAAAAAGGAGAAGAAGAAGAAGAGGAGGAGGAGGAGGAGGAGGAGGAGATTGGATTTATACCCCGCTCTTCACTTGGAGTCTCGCAGCGGCTCACACACTCCTTTCCCTTCCCCTCCCCACGACAGACAGACACCCTGTGAGGTAGGCGGGGCTGAGAGAGCTCTTGACAGAAACTGGCCTTGAGAGAACAGCTCTGAGAGAACTATGGCTTGCCCAAGGTCATCCAGGAGCTGCAAGTGGAGGAGTGGGGAATCAAACCTGGTTCTCCCAGATTAAAGACCACACACTTAACCACTACACCAAACTGCCTCTCATAGACATGACTTTATATCGGATGGCACAGCTGATTTCTTATTCATTTATTTAGGCCATTTGCAATGCGATCTCTAGAAGAGTTACTGTGGTCTAAGGCCATTTATTTAATTGGTCTTAAACCGGAGTAACTCTCCTAGGGTTGCCAGCCATTCCCCAGTTCCGAGTGGGGGAGCCCCCGGTTTCTGGCACATCTGCCCATTGCTGGCCTGCTGGCCGGTGGAGGAAACCCCGCCCCCAAACAGCGATGTTGCTGAGTGACATCCTTGAGGTGCAGATGTCACATGGAAGTCACATCATCCCATCAGGGATGTTGTGCAACGACACTCTGGTTTTGGGGCAAAATCCTATGGTTTGATGCCGATTTTACAATAGAATTTTGCCCCAAAACCGAGAGGGTCACTGTGTGACGTCCCCGGTGAGATGATGTCACTTCTGTGTGACTTTCGTGTGATGTCAGTGTGTCTCATCACTCTACCCCACTCCCCAAAAGTTCTACCACCCGCTGGTGCAGACATCGGACTTGGCACCACAGGAGGTGGTGGCAGCTACAAGCATGGACGGCTTCAAAAGGGAATTAGATAGGCATATGGAGCAGAGGTCCATCAGTGGCTATTAGCCACAAGGTGTAGATAGGGGCTCTGGGGCAAGTGATGCTCTGTCTTCTTGGTGCTTGGGGGTGGCAACAGTGGGAGGGCTCCTAGTGTCCTGGCCCCACTGCTGGACCTCCTGATGGCACCTGGTATTTCTGGCCACTGTGTGACACAGAGTGTTGGACTGGATGGGCCTTTGGCCTGATCCAACATTGGCGTCTCTTATATTCTTATGTTAAACTCAAACTGGAAAAGGGGGGGGGGACTCAACCCAGGATATGACTACGAACCAAAAAGGGCTAAGCTAAACCATATATATATAAAAGTACAAATATTTATTAAGGTGTATACATGTTAAAACTTTCCTGATTAAAAATTACTTTGTCTAAGACCAGACTATAAAAGCTTATCCACTATACATACATATGATGGGTAAATACTTTACAACTGAAGACCAAACGTGTTTCGGCCCCTAAGGGCCTTCCTCAGTGGTCACTATTATCTATATATTCTAGACACACATTCAGAGACCTGTTACAGAGTTTTAGTGCAGATATAATTAAACCGGATGTTGTTTCCTGAAATTGTTCAAAGAAAAATAGAGGGGCGGGAAAAGAAAGGAGAAGAAACTTCATTATTCTGTCCAAATGTATAAAAGAAATTATTATTGAATAAAAAATGAATCTATCAAAGATAAAGTTACCTTGTATACTTATATTTGGACTCATGGTATTAGTGATAGGCCATAGGTATAGCCATATCACCCCCACAACTTATTCTTAATCAAAAAGTGAAATGAAATTGTAAAAAAAAAAATTGTCAGTCAAATTGTATAATTAATTTCACCCAACTTGAAATGAAAATTATTACATTGGCTAACAAACCTGGTAACAGCGATTTTGTAGGTCTGAATGTGTGTCCCTCCATCAAGGTAAAAATTCTATTAGCTGCTGCACATTTCAACTCATGGTGGAAATACACAACATGTTTAGAAAAATCAGATTAGCTGATTTCTTCAAGCATAATACTGAATATAGAGTCCCAGATTCCAACATTTACAGTTTAAAACCCGAGTCTACTTTTAATCCAGCCACCAAAAATCCCAGGCTTTTAGCTTTTCAGGAAATGGTGTTAGAGGAAATACAGAGTTTGGAACAGAAAGCCCTGCCAGTCTGGCACAATATGAATAAGATGGAACATCAAGCTTTAAAACAGTTAGAACAAAGAGATGTACGTTTTAAAAAACAACCAGAACTGTTCTAAAGTAGTGGTCTGGGGCAGGGAAGAGTATATTACTGAAGTGTATAGACAACTGAATAATACAGCTCATTACCAAAAGAGTAAAGAAAATCCATCCAAGATCATTAAGAAAGAAATACAGAACATGTTGGAGGAAGGTTTAGCTGAAGGCTATAAAACTAGGTATGATTACCTCCTAAATTCGGAGGGAAGGGTGCCACAATTTTACCTCTTACCAAAGATTCACAAAGGCACCATTCCTGTCCCAGGCACACCTATTGTTTCAGGATGTGGGTCCATCTTAGAACCTCTGGCCGAATATTTAGACCTTTTTCTCATGCCATTTGTACAAACTACACACTCATATCTAAGAGATACTATGGATTTCCTTCACCACATTAATGATTTACAGTTGCCGACAGAGGAAGTTATTTTTGCCACTCTGGATGTGGTCTCTCTCTATACTAACATTCCACAAGATGAGGCCTTAGAAGTTTTATGGGAAGTACTAGAGAGAAGGACAGGGCAGCCCATCCCCCCCACATCCACATCGTTCCTCTGCCACATTGCTGAATTATGCCTGAAAAAGAACTTCTTTGAATTCCAAGGGGAATATTTCTGGCAGGTGTCAGGCACAGCAATGGGATGTAAATTTGCACCAGAATTAGCCAATCTATTCATGGATAGACTGGAGAACAATTTTATTCTCCAACCGAATAATTCTTACAGGGATCATATCATTTTTTACAAAAGATTTTTGGATGATATCTTCCTGATTTGGAGAGGTACAGTAGGCTCCTTGATTGAATTCGGTAATTAAATAAACCAAATACATAACACTATCAAATTTGAATTAGTATATGATAAGTATAAGGTACATTTCTTGGATGTAGAAATTAGAAGGACAGGCAATAAACTAGAAACAGAAGTCTATAGAAAACCCACTGATGTAAATTCATACTTAGACATGGACAGTTTTCACCCTAACCATATTAAGAAGAATCTGCCTTACTCACAATTTTTAAGACTGAGAAGGAACTGCAGTGAGACAGATGACTTTAAGAGACAGGCAGACATCTTAATGAATCAACTTGCCGACAGGGGCTACACCTATAGAAACCTAAAGTGAGCATACTACGGAGCTTACAATACACCAAGAACATCTTTACTCACACCCAGATCTCAAAATCAAAGAGTAGATAGGATGATTATACCCAGGGACAGGAACGGAGTTCCGGCTGGCTCCCAAGTTGGCCATGCCCAGCAGGAACTCATTAGCATAATAGGCCACACCCAACAGCAGAAACTCATTAGGATTGGCTACATTAGGGGTGTGTGGCCTAACATGCAAAGGAGTTCCTGCTACAAAAAAGCCCTGGGTTTTGACAACAAACAAGGTAAACAAAATAACAAGCAAAAGGTCGGTGTGGCTGGATAACCACACTTCTGGTAACATGGGGGTGTGGCCTAATGTGCTAATGAGCTGTGCTGTCAGGGGTGTGGCCCAATATGCTGATGAGTTCCTGCTGTTGGGCATGGCCTATTATGCTAATGAGTTCCTGCTGGGCTTTTTCTACAAAAAAGCCCTGATTATACCTCTTACCTACAATAGCACATTTACATCAGTGAAGAATATTGTTAATAAATATTGGCACCTTTTATCAAACATACCTAGATGCCAGAATCCTCCGCTATTTACAGCCAGGAGAGCAAGAAATCTCAGGGCTCCTGGAACTCAAGGACCAGCTGTATGAGGGGGGAGGCAGATTCCTAAAGGTGTCCTAAACTGTGCTGAGGCTAAGAAGTTGTTCCAAAACACTGCCAAAACAAAAACTTTCTTTATTGATACGTTTTGCAACTGTCAAAGCAAAGGAGCGATTTACTGTATCCAATGTCCTTGTGGGAAATTGTATTTGGGTCAAACATCTAGACCTGTAAAAGTCAGAATATGTGAACACCGAAGCGGCATTAGATTGCATAAACGTTCTGCACCATTAGTAAACCATTTTCTGGACTTGGGACATACGGATAAACAGCTAAAATTTTGGATCATCGAGACTGTACAGACTACCAACCCGAACATGTGGAGAGTGCTCCTGAGAAGAGAGTTGTTTTGGATTTACCAGCTACAAACATGGGCGCCTTTTGGATTGAATGAGGAAGTGGGCTGGACTTGCTGTTTGTGAACATCTGTAATTGTTTTTTGTCTATTCTGTATGCTGACCTGTCCCCCCCCCATGCTGCTCCTTATCTCCCTCTCCTTTGTACCCCCTCCCATCTGGTACTTTTCCTGGCTGGCATTGTGCAATGCTAATTGGTGATTGCATCACCCTGGTTTCACTAATATATATTGAAGCCAGTGCAGCAGCTAAGAATAGAATTTTCACCTTGACGGAGGGACACACATTCAGACCTACAAAATCGCTGTTACCAGGTTTCTTAGCCAATGTAATAATTTTCATTTCAAGTTGGGGGAAATTAATTATACAATTTGACTGACAATTTTTTTTTTTTTTACAATTTCATTTCACTTTTTAAATTCAGAATACGTTGTGGAGGTGAAATGGCTATACCTATGGCCCATCACTAATGCCAGGAGTCCCAATTATAAGTATACAAGGTAACTTTATCTTTGATAGAATCATTTTTTATTCAATAATAATTTCTTTTATACATTTGGACAGAATAATGAAGTTTCTTCTCCTTTCTCTCCCCCCCCCCTATTTTTCCTTGAACAATTTCAGGAAAGAACATCTGGTTTAATTATATTTGTACAAGTACTCTGTAACAGGTCTTTGAATGTGTGTCTAGAATATATAGATAATAGTGACCGCTGAGGAAGGCCCTTAGGGGCCGAGACGCGTTTGGTCTTCAGTTGTAAAGTATTTACCCATCATATCTATGTATAGAGGATAATATCTTAGACAAAGTAATTTTTAATCAGGAAAGTTTTAACATGTGTACACCTTATTGTTAAACTTTCCATAGGATTGCACTGCCCACTGATAGGGATCCAGTTAAGTTCACAAAAAAACCCACAACAGTTTAAATCTTATCATTCAGTTACTCTAGACCATTTCAGCCATGCTTTTTTTTGCAGTAGAAAAGCAAGATTCGAGCCCCGTAGCACCTTAAAGACTAAGAAGGTTTCCGAGGTGTAAGCTCCGAAGAGGCAAAGCTCAAAATCTGATGAAGGCAGCTTGTGACTCTTGGAAGCTTATAACCCCGGAAATATTCATGGTCTTTAAAGGTGCCACCGGACTCAGATCTCTGTGTAGACGGAACGGAATCTCATGGTAGACAGAGGGTGTGAATGGACTCCACTTAAAACTTCGCTGGGCTCTTTTTGTAGCAGGAACTCCTTTGCATATTAGGCGACACACCCCTAAAGTCGCCAATCCTCCAAGAGCTCACAGAGCTCTTCTCACAGGGCTACTGTAAGCTCTTGGAGGATTGGCTACATTAGGGGTGTGACTTGTTGGAGCAGGGACTCCTTTGCATATTAGGCGACACACCCCTAATGTCGCCAATCCTCCAAGAGCTTACAGAGCTCTTCTTACAGGGGCTACTGTAAGCTCTTGGAGGATTGGCTACATTAGGGGTGTGTCGCCTAATATACAAAGGAGTCTTTGCTACAAAAAGAGCCCTGCCGGTATTTCGGCTGATGGAGAGACTCGCTTGGCGGTGTTTGGACTAAGGCGGCTCATTCGCAAACGTGGATTGTGACGGGCTGATCAGGGGAAGAGGGCAAAGACTCGTTCTCTATAGCTTCGGGGGAGGGGAAGATTTTATCTAGCGAGCTGAAATTACAAGAGGGGAGATCTGGGTTGAACACTGGGGGAAAATTCCTAAAGGTAAAGTTCATCCGTCACTGGAGGTTTTCAAAGAGAGGCTGGCAGTCGTCTGTCAGGGACGGTCTGACTTTGGATTTCTGGTATGGATGACATAGACCAGTTCTTCTGGATGGTTCTGATAAGAAAATCAGAAGAGCCCTGCTGGATCAGACCAGTGAGGGTCCATCTAGTCCAGCATCCGGCCTCACACAGGGGCCAACCAGTTCCTCTGGAGGGCCAACAACAAGGCATAGAGGCCGAGGCCTTCCCCTGATAAGAACATCAGAAGAGCCCTGCTGGATCAGACCAGTGGTCCATCTAGTCCAGCATCCTGTCTCACACAGGGGACAACCAGTTCCTCTGGAGGGCCAACAACAGCGCATAGAGGCCGAGGCTTTCCCCTGATATTACCTTCTGGCACTGGAATTCAGAGGCTGACTGCAATTCCAGGAGTGTTGGACTGGATGAACCACTGGCCTGATCCAACATAGCTTCTCTAATGTTCTTAAATCTTCAGCCTCAGGGTGAAAGTAGTTGTTCCTTGACAGCAGATGGTGACTGCTGTTGTTACCACTGGCAGTTAGCAACCCGTTGTGTGAACACCATGAAGGGACACCGGGAACCTGTTTAAATGCATTTCCCCCCCATATGGGGTATACTCATGTCATAGAACTGTACCAGGTCTAAAAGCACATGGGGTCGGAAAAAGACACATTCCTGAGGGATCTTCCAGGTCACATATGAACACATGAAGCTGAGTTATACTGAATGAGACCATCGGTCCGTCAAGGTCAGTATTGTCTACTCAGACTGGCATCTGCTCTCCTGGGTCTCAGGCTGAGGTCTTTCCCATCACCTACTGCAAGATCTTTTAACTGGAGATGCCAGGGATTGAACCTGGGACTTTTGCATGCCAAACAGATGCTTTACCACTGAGCCAAAGCCACTGCCCATTAGTTTGGTCCTGACATTGTTCCTGTGCAAAAGGAGTGTTCAGGTAAGCAAGACTTGTGAAATGCTCGGCATGCCTCAGTTAAACATCTTCACAGAGGAATCTTTTGGGGTCGCTCTCTGGGGGGGGGGGATCTACCTTAGAAAGCAGACCGTGGTCATCTTTTCCTTAGTGGACAGTTTTATTCGGGCAACTTTGCCTAGAACAATTTCTCTAGCTGTTGAAAAGCTCAAGTGACCGGGGGAAAAGATTTGTATTGAAGCTAGTCAGGCTCTTCATGACCCTGGTCCATACGAATAAATTTCTCCGCGTTGTACCAGCTTCTTTTCTCCTCAACCCCATCATCCTCGGCCCCTGTATAATTTCTGTGAAAATGAGAAACCGCGTAACTCCCCTGCCCGCTGCCCCTGAGGTTTGTAAGTCAGAGCAAGCCTCTGTAGTCTGTACTGAAAATATAATCCTTCCTTCCTTCCTTCCTTCCTTCCTTCCTTCCTTCCTTCCTTCCTTCCTTCCTTCCTTAACATGTTATGTTTCTACACTCTCTAAGAATTGCCAATGC